GGTGATTGTGGAAGGGATGTGGCAGCAGAGTTACTAGCCCTAGATGGAGTTCCTATTGGCCTTGGTGGATCTCTGTTCAGGGAACTTAACCTGGAAGTAGTTTGTGGAGCCCTTGATGGAGCTGGTTTCAGTGTCTGTTAGGATCACAGGACAGCTGGGGGCAAGATGACTGGTTAAATGCTGGTCTTGCAGCTCTTTGGGTTCTGTAGGTATGGAGTGGAGCCCGCCTGAATCCAGGCACTAAAGCAGCACACCAAAGTGGCGCAGCCGGTCCCTAACTCACGCTGGCATGGCTCCTGACCACATGATTCTGAACTCCCAGAGAGCAGGGTCTGTTCTAGGGATGGCTGAGGATGGGAGCTAGTCACACTTCTGGTCACCAGGGAAGCATGGGGAAAAGAAAAAATATCACATTTCTTGTTGCCCGAACGAATCTGCTGTGCCAGGCTTCCCTCTGCTGCTAAAGTTAATCACAAGATGGTCAAACCATGTCTAGCCAACTGTTCACCAGTGTCTCTCTCTTTCTTTCTCTCTGTCTCTCTCCATCCCTGCTTACCTTCTCCTCCCAGAAAACACTCATCTACTTTTCTAACTTTTCTTCTGAACTTCAAGGTGCTATCTCTGTCTATTTTATTTAATCTTTTGTAAATCTTTGTTGTAGAGGGTCCATGTAATGTATCTGCCTAGTCCACCATCTTGCTGGAAGTCTCTCCTATGGCCATTGTCTTTATGGAAGCAGATTGCCACATCTTTGTGCTTCAGAGGAGGTGATGGGTTCGAATCATCAAACTTTTTGTGTCAAATTGACTGGGCCACGATTCTCAGTACTTTGGCAGTTGAGATGCAGTTACTCCCCATGATAAAATCTAATAGAATATAATCAGCTATGATGAAGTTGGCTATGAACAGACAATCAATTGAAAGGAATTTTCCTCAGGGCTGTGGTCTGCTTCTAATAGATTGGCTACTCAGGCAAAGCTTGTTTGCTCTCTGCTGGATCTAGCTCGTCCTCCATTCTCTGATTCTTTGGACTTGAGTCAGTGGCCTGCTCTATTACCTGCCAATCCTGGGAGTCTGGATGGAATGTGCTGATTGGCTCATGCCTGACAGACCAATCTACAGATCTGGAGGTGAAGAGGACCCATCCACACTACAGCAGCTGAGTGGGGGACCTCATGGCTCCCAGAGATAAGTAACACTGATCTCTCAAAGGTAACCTTCATTTTTGACCTGTATCTGTGTCAGGCTGTCTTCAGGTGCAAATATAGAATAGTAGCTGCGAGTATGAATCTTGGAGACAGACCCTGAGTTTTAATCTTGTTACTGCCATTTGCCCTGGACAAGTTGATTAGCCACTTAGGAGATAGTCTTCTCTTCTGTGAAAAAGAACAGATAAAAACCTGGCAGAACTGTGACTGTTACATGTGTTAATGTATATAAACATGGGCAGCACCTCTGGACAAAAAACCCAGTATTTTGAAGCAATAGAAAACCCAATTTAATTAGCTTAAACAACAATGAGAATGTATTGGGTCACATTATTGCTAAATCATTTAATTGCAATCTTCCCATGAAGAATACAGCAAGCTTTCCAACCTTAAACCAACAAACAAGAGGCACAGGCTTCCCTGCAGAAGGAAGGCACATCATATGTCCACCCTTGAATCATTCCCAGCAGCCAAGAGAATGTCCTGCAGTCACTGGTTTAGGCCCGAATTCCTTTCACATTCTGGAGCCTAGGGAGGTGAGCTCTGGTAGCATAGTGGCCTGGTAGCGTAGTGGTTATGAATTGGGCTGTGAACCACAAGGTCAGCAGTTCAAAACTACCAGCCGCTCCACAGGAGAAAGATGAGGTTTTCTGCTCCTGTAAAGATTTACAGCCTCGGAAACCCTGTACAGGGTCTCTATGTAGGAACCGACCTGAAGGCACTTAACAACAACAACAACAGGGAGGTGAGGTAATGCTGATCGGGTAGTTTGGGAGTAGCTCAATCAGTCCCCTATAAATCTTAGTGGACAGTGGCTACAACAATATGAATGAGGCTGGCACGGATGCCTGCCTGTGAAAATGCAGTTTGCTGTTCTAATTTGTTTATAGTGAAAAACAAAACACAATTTTCCCAAAATCAATTTTTTCAGAATACAGAAAAACTGCCCAAAGACAACAAAAATGGCTTTTAATACTATCTTTTTTTTTAAAGGACATGTCAAGAAAATACAAACATTTGTACAGCAATGTATCAAATGTAGCAAACAACATTATTAGAACAATTGGCACACTAACACTTGAAAATGTTTAAAATATATTTAAAAAACAGCATTAAAATCAATTTCCTGAATTTGATGATTGCACTTTAGTTATAAAAGAGAATGTTATTATTCTTAGGAGATACCCGCTGAAGTATTTAAGTGTAAAGGAACATGATTTCTGCAATTCTCAAATGGTTGAAAAAGTTATGTTAAAATCCTATATGTGTGTGTATGTATATAGAAATAGCAAAAATAGCGAAGTGTTAGCATTTAGAAAAATAAGATTTGCCATTCTGTATGTAAAATTATTTTTCAACAGATGGTTTTAAAAATGAGTGTGTATAGAAACAGGCATAATAAATCTATTATATTTATGGCTTCTAGTAGTCCTCTATGCTGTAATAATTTTAAAAACAACAATTAAAAAATGCACACAAATCTTCCTTAGCACCCCACAGTCGCCAGAAACCCCTGCCAAGTTACTTTATGTCTTATCAGGAAAAATCAACTCGTAGCAGTGTTTTTACAAAAAGAAGTTTTGAAAAGAATGAGAATAATAGTGGAGTACTTGGCCAAAGCACTCCCCGGACGATCGACAGCGACCACACCCACCGCGCTTCCACACGGAACCGCAGAGGTTCCAGAGCGCAGGGCTGGGAACTACTCCCGCGCGCGGCCTGCCGGGATCTGGAGTCCTGCTACTCCTGAGCGCAACAGCAAGGCGCTCTGGGATCTTCAGGCCGCTCTCTCATCTCGCGGTGTTATCCTTCCAGTCCCTTCGGCCCTATGACCCCCATCATCAACGTGTTTTTCAAATCCACCAATGGGCGCATAGCTTAGGCTCGAACCAGCCAATCGGAATGCGAAGTCACCGGGAAATTTAAATCGCGCCGGCCGGCAGCACGAGCCACAAGGTCTCCGGTCTGAGCCGCGTTGGACGATTCCTGAGGGCAGCCGATCTACAGCTTGTAAACCCCGCTCCACCTTCTGTGGAAGCCTGAACCTGCTCCGCAG